TTCCAGCTTGAGTCTGGAAGGAGTTAATCCAGTGCTGCTGTGGACTGCTTTGTTGTACGCCACTTCGGCGAAGGTAGCAAGTCCGACCAGTTGTCTTGCTGATAGTCCACATAACACCGGATGTATTGTTCCACCACCGCATTGGCCCTCTGCTGCGCAGTTCATGCTGGGCTAAACCTCTGAGCTCAGTTCTTGTGTGGACCCAATGGACCTCAGAGCCTCTTTCCAGAACTTGGCTGTAAACTGGACTATGCGGTCTGAAATAGGCACTCCGTGCAGGCGATAAAAGTGTTTCACAAACATTTTCGCTAATTTCTTTGCGGACGGCAGCCCTGAGCAAGCGATGAAATGCGATTGCTTGGAAAACAAATCAATAACTGTCCAAATTATTCTATTTCCGCTGCTGTCTGGGAGTTCCATGATGAAGTCCATTGCGACCTCTTCCCATGGTTGGTTAGGGCTGGCTACTCATTGTAGTAGTCCAGGGGATTTCTCTGACAATGGTTTCATCATTGCAAAAGTAGCACAGCTTTTTACGTAATCATCTACCTCCGATTCCATCTTTGGCCACCAAAATTGACGCCTGGCGAGGTGGAGCGTTTTTAGGAGTCCAAAGTGGCCTCCTAGTTCTGCCTCATTGCTTTGCTGTAGAACTTCCAGCCACAACCCCGTGGGGATGTACAGTTTGGACTCCTTCCAGGCTAATCCATTTTCCATCATTAGGATTTCCTGGTTATTGTTGAGCCACTGGTCTGTTGGGAGCACCAATTTCATAGCTGTCATCAGCTTATCCTGGCTTTGGTTAGTGACTTGGGCTGCCTTTTCAAGGGAGGAAGAAATGATGGGGTGAACAACTTCTCCCTTCTTACTGTTGTCCTGGGGTTTTCTCGACAAAACATCCCCCAACAAGTTTTTTTTGTACTTGTTGCACCTCTGGGGTTTTTGTCTCTGCTGCAGGTGCTGCAGGTGCTGGGCTCTTGGGTTTATTCATCCCTGGGTGGCCCTTTTCCTCCCCCGGTGGTAGTGGCCCAAACGCAATTATCAATTTCCTACCGCCATCTCCCCATTTTATCGTAGGCTTCCACTGGTCAAGCCAGGCAAACCCCAAGATAATATATTCCGACATCTCTGGAGCCACAATGAATCTGAAAAGCTCATAGTGGTGGCCCACTTGTAACTCTACCAGTTCAGTTATTAGTGTGGGTGGGGCCTCTCCAATTAGCGTTCCATCTACCTGCTCAACCCAATGTGACAGGCTAGAGGTCTTGTGTGTATACCCAGTTGTTTACAATCGATATGCTGATAAAGCATCGAGTGCAACCGGTGTCCACAACTGCTGCAACTTCCCCTTCCACTCCCTTCTCGGGTACTTGGAGGTTGGCTTGGAAGGCGAAGGGGCTGATGGGTGCACTCACCATTGGGTCATCTTTGACATTTTCCTCCTCTGAGGCCTCCCCCTTGGTAGGACTTTTCATCACCTTAGGTTGGGGGTCCTCTTCCAGAGGTTGTTGGCCCAGATGACTCTTTTCTGGTGTCATCTGGGGCCTTTCCTTTACTGCCGTGGTGTTTGGTGTGCACATTTGTGGCATTGAGGCTGGAGCCAAGCACTCTGATATTCTGTGGCCAAGTTGACAGCAACGGTGGCATTTTATTGGCCCCCCATGAGGGAAGGAACCTAGTTACATCTCTAAACTTAGGAACCACCTCATCACATTGTTCCGCTATCCATCCTGCAGNTTTTGCCTGGTTTTAGTCTGCAGAATGCTTCTGGGGGTGGGGTGGGATGAAAGGAGACCAAAAAATGGGCAAGAACAGCCCATTTCTGCCTGCAGAATGCTTCTGGAGGGGGAGCTGAAAGGAGACAAAAATACAGGCTGCTTTTCATCTCCCCTACCTCCTGAAGATAGATAGAGAAAGATAGACAGACACAGAGAGAGAGAGAGACAGAAAGAGAGGGAGAGAGAGAGAAAAAGAGAGGGGGACAGAAAGAGGGGGAGAGAGAAAGAGGGAAGAGAGAGAAAGGAAGAGAAAGAAAAGGAGAGGTAGAGAGGGGGAGAGAGAAGGAAAGAGGGAGAGAAAGAAAGATAGGGAGAGAGGGGGAGAGAGAAGGAAAGAGAGAGAGAAAGAAAGAGAGAGGGAGAGAAAATGATTTCTCAAGCTCCTTGGGGCTGAGAAGAATGGCTGCAAAACTGAGTTTCCTGAAGTGGGCCACTAGACTCCTAAACACCTGAAAAAACAATATAGTAAAAAGAAAAGGCATTGTTCAATGGACTGTTAAATTGGCCATGCCCACCAAGTCACATGACCTAGCCATGGCCACAAGTCACATGACCACCTAGCCATGCCCACCCAATCGGTCTGCCCTCCCCAACAGTCTGAGGGACCATAAATTGGTCCCCTGTTTAAAAAGTTCGAGGACCCCTGTTCTAGTCTAAAGAGGATAAGATTACATATTCGTGTGGAATTATATTAAAGCTTAAATCTTAGAATTTATACATTGTTATGTGGTATCAAAATTGCCTGGGACTGCACAACACATTAATCCTTTCTTCCTTGATATGGCTTCCAAACATTTGTGAATTTCAAGGTCAAACAGGTAGAGAGGACACTTATGGTTTACAAATCCTATTTGCTCATCATACAAATCCTATTTGCTCATCAAACAAGACACAATATTTATGTTATGGGTTAAATGTTTTTTGTTTCATTAACAAATAAATGTGACTTCCCTTCTGGAAATGTTTAACAATTGACAAATGTATTAGAATCAGAATTTAGGCCATTGGGTTCAACCTTCTGTTAAGTACAAGAAGTATCCACAGCAAATGGCTGTCTAGATTCTGCTTGAACACATTTATTTATGTATCAGATTTATATGTTCATTCATCTTACACAAAGTGTAATTGTAAGTCAAGAACTATCTGTATTACCTGGGGGGAAATGTGATTGATTTAAAAAGTTGCAGGAAAATGCTACATATGTAGCCTACAAAGTAAGACATGGTTTTCCAAAATCTGAAATGTGTATGGCTCTGCTATTAATAGTGGGAGAAACTATGTTTCCATAAGGAACAAATGATTTCTGACAATCATTTGTAGGGATTAACATACTGCATTCTATATTCTTTTCATGTAATAGCTTCCTCTTGCTAATGAAAACTGGCTTTCTTTTATTTCAGAAAAGCCATTTATGTAAATGATCTTTGTGTAATCTCCTTAATATGTTTAATGTATTTTGTAAACTTTTAAAGTCAATCTTATGTTTCAATTCCCTCATTCTATCTCCACCCACCAGCATTGTACACTGACACCACAGCTAACCTGATAAAAGGAGAAAGGTTCATTTGGCCCATTCAAAAACAACACCTGGCTGCCTCTTGCAAAACTTGCAGGAATAAAGCTGAAAAATAAAATGAGTAAAACAATTGGTAAGTACAAGAAAATATTTTAAATCAACTCAAATTTTTTTCTTTTTCCTTGCTATTATTTGATAACTCTGATAAAACTTTGAGCAGCATGCCGCATGATATTAGGAATTTTACAAGTTGAGTACAAGTTGAGTTCTGAGATTTTAAAATCTGAAATTCAACCTTTTAAAATGACAGATGGAACTACAGGAACTTCAAATAAGGATGAAATTGATTTAAGATGTCTGCGCTGAACATGTATTGTAATTTGTTTTATATTTGTTCTATAGAATTTCCCCCCTATCAGTAGGATCAATAGTTTAGTCTTTGGTTGTCAGGTTGCACTGAAATTTCTGTGCCACATTTATTAATAAATAAACGATAATCTGGTTAAAATTGCTAATTTTTCTATCCGATAAAATTTAGTGGGATTTTTCTTTAAAAATATGCATTTGCCTGAGTGATAACATGCACCAAATATTTTTGTTTATAATTTGTAAAGGATACTAGCTGTGTAAAATAATTCACATCTCTTTGTTCAGTAGGTATAGTCAACTAAAAACAAGGGCTTCTGCAGGTTTATGAGATTTTAAATAGTCATTTTCAGCAACTGCCATTTCTTTATTCACATTTTGATGGAAATTGGATTAGCAATTTGAGCTGCTGTTACTCTGGTTTAATACTATTTATATAGGTGTTTCTGCTATATCAGATTGTGTTTCATTTTGTTTTCATTTTATTATTTTATTTGAACACTGAATGGTTTTCAAATATCATGCATCACACTAAATTTATTCACATAGACCTAAATTCTAATCTAATAAATCTTATAGTTACATTGTTTCTTTTAAACTCAGTTGCCTTGTCTGGAAGTCTAAGAACCCTTGCAATATTTCATAATATAAGATTCATTTGTATTTAGGCTACACACATAGGCTAATATGCTATTGTGGCCAGAAGGGCCTTTGCACAACTGTGGGTTGTGCGCCAGTTGTGCCCTTTCCGGGACCAACAGTCCCTACTCACAGTCACTCATGCCCTAGCCCCTTCCTGTCTTGACTATTGCAACACGCTCTACATAGGGCTGCCCTTGAAGAGCATCCAGCTCCAATTGGCGCAAAATGCAGCATCCCGCATGGTTTTGTGCACATGTACCACCTCTTGCAGGAGCTGCATTGGTTGCTGATTTGCTTCCAGGTGCAATTCAAGGCGCTGGTTGTCACCTTTAAAGCCCTTTATGGTTTGGGACCAGATTATCTGAAGGACTGTCTCTTGCCAGTCACATCTTCCTGACCCATCAGAGTGGGGATGCAGGGAATGTTGCAGGTCCCATCCCTGAGGGAGATACACCTGGTGGAACCCAGAAAAGGGTATTTCTCTGTGTCTTCCTCTCTCTGGAACATCATTCCCCCAGATATTAGAATGGCCCCCACTCTAATATTCTTCCGGAAGGAGCTGAAAACCTGGTTCTGCCAGCCAGCCTGGGGTACCCAGAGCAGGATGGAGCCATCAAGTAGCTCTTGCGATCTTCTGTGACCGGGATAGGGGGTGGGAGGGGGTGGGTGATTTTGTTATATTGTACTATATTAATTTATTTGATTCTTTTTGTTAGTTGTTAGTGTTTTAAATGTACAAAACAATAAGCCGCCTTGAGTTGCCATGGTCAAAAAGGCAGCAATACAAATTAAATAAATAAATAATATTAAGATGGAAGTTAATTTCAACACTAATTCACTATTAAAGATTTAAGGACACCCATAGTGAATTGTCCTGCAGATAAGATTTAGTTTTCTGCTTTCAAAATTCCCTTTGTGCAGTGATATTGTGCAGTCATATTTGTACTATTATTTATGCCACTTTGAGCATCCTTGCCCCCTCCTTTTGGAATGAACATCTATTACCAATTATCAACTGACTTTGGTGAAATAATTAATGGTATTGCATTCTATTTGCAAAACTCCTAGTCTAAACAGTCAAAACTAAATTTATGACTTCAGGGATTAGATGTCCCTGAAAGAGCAGGGATGACGTTGTGCTGGAGATTGGTGGCCTGGCAATGAATTCTGACCAGCAAAATATCTCCAGAAAATGATTGTGAGATTGCTCACTTGTTTCCTGGACACCCGCTTCGCATGAATAGACTGCAGATGCTGAATTTTTCTGTGGTGAGCTTGGAAATCAAGAGGATGGGAGTCAAAGGATTTCAACCAAACTTATACTTATAATGCAGCCTAAATGGACAAAGTTTGCTGAGCTTTCTTAATCACAAGAATAATTAGAATGTTGGTTTTGGAAAGTTGGAAATGAACTAAGATTCCACATGAATGTAAAATAAAATTTCAAGAAATAAATTATAAGATTCCTGTAGAAAATGTTGCAGTTGTAAATTCTTATAACAAAACAATATTGGATGCAGTGGTGGGTTTCAAAAATTGTTCAAACCTACTCTGTAGGTGTGCCCCCCTTTGTGGGAGTGGCTTGCCACCCATGTGACCGGATGGGAGTGGCTTGCCACCCATGTGACCGGATATGAAGATGCCGACGACACTTGTCAGAACCACCTTAAATTACCTCACACACAGCACTGGCATGCATAAGAATATGATGTAAACTTGTTTTTTTAAACGCATCTTTGGTTTGCGTTAAAACAACTTCAACACACGCAATGTTCTGATTGCACCACAAACACAGTAGTCATCCTTACCTTTCACAGAGGCACTGAGTTTTATAAATATGAGCATGATAGTGTAGAATAATCATATCCAAAGACCAGTGGTAGGTTTCAATAAATTTTGGAACCTCTTCTGTAGATGTGGCCTGCTTTCTGGGTCCACTGGTGGAATGTCTCTTCTAACCGGTTCGGTAGATTTGATGAACCAGTTCTATCAAATAGGTGCGAACTGGTAGGAACCCACCTCTGATTGGATGGGACTTTGAAGGTTGGAGCCTAAAGAAAACTGGAAGGAACTAAAGATTACAATTTAAGAACACTTAAATTTATCTTAATAATTTAAGTATTTTATTCTATTCTTGAATGAAATAAAACACTTCAAAATTGGACATATTGAAGGATATTCGGGGAACAGAGAATAAGATATCGAGTTTCATCATCATCTTGATCAATAAAGATAAAGATTGTTAAAAGAAAGGCATTTTCTGGATGTTTTTACTGTTTTGTTTATTTTTTCATTGTTTTATAGTTTTAGAATTGTAAGCTGCCAGGAGTCATTTGATTGAGTTGCGCAGCTATAGAAATTAAATTAATTAATTGATTAAGTTGGTTTATTTGATCAAACTTAAAGTAGATATGTTGCTATTCTCCAAAGTTGGTGGAGACAGCAGTCATGCATGGGTTAACTCAGTCAGTAACCAATAGAACTGAGTTTACCAAAGTGATGTCATCGCCTCTGAGGAATGTCCTCCTGCTTTTTTAGACTCAGTTCGATTTGAACTGGCTGTGCTAATTGCTCTCTCCTCAACTTTCTACTTAAAAACTTCAATTGGCTTCTCTAATCAAAATTAGTTGGCTTGAATTCATCTCCAAATTGCAAGGAAGAAAAAAAAGGTTTTCTTGGATTGCTCCCTTTGGAGCCAGGACTTTCAGTTAGCCTTTGGGTTTACTGAGGGGAATTGCCAGGGATTCTTTGAGGCTTTTGCCTCCCGAACTTGCCAGCAGCCTCAGACGTTTCTTCGGGCGCAGCACTGCTCAGCACTGGCCGTTGGAGGCTCCACTCAGCGCTGCTGCCACCGCTGGATCTCCCTGGCTCTCCCTCGCTTGCCGCTAACACTGCCAAGCCTCCAACCGCACGAGGAGCTGCCAGGAAGTGCCACCACCAGGAAGTGCCGCTGTCAGGAAGTGCCACTGCATGCCGTTGCATGCCGCCGCCGCATGCCACCACTGTTCCTCAGCACTTCTGCCACCGCCGGACTATCGCTGCTGCCTCTGCAGCCTCTCCGCAGGGCTTTCAATGCCCTCCCTCGTTCCCCGGACTCGGCTACCTTGTGGTGCCCAGTCCATAGGTTCTGTAGCCTCAGCGGCCATTTTGACTATTCATTGAGCCGTGAGTACAGGCAATGGCCTCTCCTGCCCCTGAGCCTCAAGTGTATCCACCCACCGAGTTCCCTTCATCTGGGGCACACAGGCACAGATCTGCTCCAGAGGCCTCCCCTACTGAGCCTGATTCCAAGGCCCTGAGGTCTAGTCACAAGTATACAGCTGATCCACCCCCAGGAAAGGGATACTGCCACTCAGGCCCCTCCCAGCAAGGCCAGAACTAAGACCAAAACACGGAATCCTGTCTATTTTAGGCCCAGAGGTCCATTCAGCCTAGTCCTCCTCCTGACCTTTCTTCCAATTCGGAGGATGATCTCTCCCCTGCTGCATCCATGATCCAACCTAAGGATGCCAGGAGCACGGGTGATTTGGCCAACAGTGGGGATGAATCTGAGGGTGGCAGGAGCATCACTCCTGATGAGGACCCCCTCTACCAGGAGGACATTTCCCCCCATCCCACCGCTGTCATTCTTACTCATCTGGCATGGCTGATATCATATCTGTCTTATCTTTATCTTCTATATCTTCCTTCTCCCCTTTAATTTTTGGGGCTCCAACCCCTTCATCTTTTGCTGTGAGGAAGTCTTTCCAACTTCTTCTCAATCCTTCCAATAGATTTTGAATTCCAGCCAAGATATTTTAAAATTGTAAGGTTTCCTCATCTAAATATTGATCCATGTTTCCAAAAAAGAAGAAAGAAAGAAAAAAACTCTAGCCTTCCAGGCCTCTTTAATTTTTATTTTATTTTAGGTTGACTTGAACACAAGTTCTTTTATGCTCTTCAAAGGAGAAGGGTTCTATTTTTTTCCCTTTCTTTCCCCTGCCAAAATAGTTCTCAAAGGCACCTGTGAAAACAATTTATGCCCTTGGCTCTTTATCAGTTTCTGTAAACAAGTTGCAAACCCTTCAGCTGCAAAGTCAGTGAAATCAAAGAAGGAAAAAGAAGAGATATGTTGTTTCAGAAGCT